CGCTGTCTATGTCTTAACTGATCATTCAAACACATTTTCAGCGTTTTTATGGAGAACTTTTCATTTTGATAAATTACCACCCACTGCATTTCATTGGCATCCAGCTCCATTCATTGTGCTATACTATGGATGCATGCTACACTGGGACACTAGTGTTTGTGGAGTGATGATGGGTTTCCTCAGGTGGTTGTGGTTACTCATTCGTGACGGGACCGTCCGTCCTTTCAGGCAACAGGTTGCAGTTTGTTGCTGCAAAGGTTGCAACAATGAAAGAAATCAACAATGCAGTTCTTTGTGTTCATTTTATTAAAAGGTTTTTTTCTATTTATAATATACGACAAATAATCGGAAAAGTCTACTTTTATATTCATAATCACCCCTCGACAACTTTAAGTGTAGCACATTTAACACAAAAATGGTGCATGTTTATCTGTAGAGGCTGCAAGTAAAACTCAGGGATGCAGCTGTTTTGCTCCTGCAACATGTGGCTGCCTCTAAATCGTCCATATAACTGCTGTTCTTTAAGTGAATGCACATCTTACATTTAACATTTCAATACCTCAAACTTAACATTTGCCATTTATGGACCAAAACGTGTGATATTTACAGAACAATGCAGGAAATGTGCTGGTGTGACGAATATTGCCAGGGCCGCGCAGGAGAGATCGTTTTGACGTTTTGGTGCAGCCCTTGTCGTGGGAACAAGAATCACGTCTGTTTTTGGCACAGGTATCATCTTCCATCCTAGAGGGGAGTGCAGCTTTACATTTGAGCAATACGTAAACAACATCTTGTCTTTGTTTTTTGCATATGTGTGTTATGTGTCCCTCCCTTAGGAATGCCAGGCATACTGCTATTTCCTTCCCTCTGTTTGACAATGCCAGGAGGGACGACGTTTTACAACAGGAGGGAGAGACAGAGGGAAACTCTCCAGAACACGAGGCGGCATCAGTAGTCGTAAGCTGCAAGAAAGAAACAGAAGAGCGGTTATCCAACTCGCCGTCTGGCAGAGTCTACGAGGAAGAGGAGCATGCGATCCACTTCGTGAAGAGAGGTTCATGTCCAGACGGGCATGCAATCACACCAAGGTGGTCTTACTTTCTATTGTGAGGATGCAGGTGCTTGCTGCCGTGCCTCTGCTGTTCACGGCCTTGCACATGTACTCTCCCTCGTCCTCGGGGAAGGTCTCCGGCAGGTAGAGGCAGTATGTCTCTCCTCTCTCTATGTACTGATAGTCCTCACAATCTTGGAGCACCTCTCCCTCAAACCACCAGGTCACCTCTGGCTTCGGTTCCCCGGTGATCTTTACGGTGAACCGAACTGGCTCAGAATCCACCACCGACTGGTTTTTGAGGGGCTTTTTAAACCACGGGGCCCCTGACCTGGCGTGATCCTCCTCATCTTCGTAAGCCGCAGAGCCGTTAATGATGCTACCCTCGTCCTCCACGTCATCATCCTTCTGCAAACAGAGGACAAAACAAAAACGTGTTCGTTTGTTGTCTCGGTGAAGTTTGTCATGAAAATGGAAGATTTACTTTTTGGAGCGCGGCATCAATCTCCTGCTGCTCAAACTGCATCCTCTGCAGTTTCTGCTCCTCTATCCTCCTCTGTTCCTCCTCCTCTCTTGCTTTGGCCATCTGCTCAAAGCGGGCTCGCATGTCCACTTTCTGTTTGAACGGTGACTCTTCGGCCCTCGCTGGAGTCGTTTCCTGGTCCTCATCCTCCGGAAAAAACAAAAACTTGTAATACACGCTGCCAAGATCATCTTCCATTGATATGAAAAAAAAAACACGTGCTATAAAGTGCTCTTACCTCCTGGAAGCGCTCAGCTTCTCTCTCCTTGATTTCATCATCGACGGCCTTCCTCTTGGCTCTCTCCATCTCGATCTTCTTCTGAATCTCCTCCTCAGTCAGCTGCTTGATCTTCTCAAACTTGGACTTGAGGCTTTTGGCCTGAATGGAGCCGGTTCTCTTGAGCTTAGTGAGCTCTTCGTACTCTTTGCTTACAACATCCGAGCTTTCATTTATTTCTTCCTGTAACGATATTTGGAACAACTTTAAACATTTAGTCACATTTTCCTGTAAAACACGACTCGACTGGCTGTCGTCTGATATCTTCAGCTGCTCAACACCGACCTCGCCCATCTCTTGTCTGAGTTGTTCGAATTCCTGCTTCTCTTGCTCCATTTTCTTTTTGCGCTCCTCTGCCTTGCGTCGCCTCTCAGCTTCCTCCTTCTCTTTCAGCAGCTCTTCAAAGTTGATCTCCAGTTTCCTGGGGTGCAGGGCTTCCTGAGACTCGCTCTTTACCATCCCTTCGTCCTCATCTAGTACCTAAACACACAAGCACCCACAAAAGTGTTTCAGCATTTTAATGTTTAATGAAATCCTGCAGCAGTAACATCTTCAATTTGCAAAAGCAATTGCAAATCGAAAGCATTACAAACATTAGATAAACAGCTGCATGCAGAGAAACCCAAGACGCATCGTCTGGAGGCCACTGTGTCCTTGGATGTGTAGGGAGCACATTGATAATAATTTATACTACATTTGAAACTGAAAATCTCTTACTGTTTCATCTCCACATGCAGACTTTTCCTGATCCAGACCAGGGCTCTTGAAGAAATAATTGAGACAAGGAAACAGCAGTGCAGTTGTAGCCCATCATTACTGATGTGCAGCATGAATCTATTACAGACACTTCTGCAGGCTCACGTGTTGGCTTAATCCACCGATGCTGAACAAAACTGTGTTTGATTGTTTTACAAACATCGTAAAACTGCTTTTTATGCATGTGTTCCTGCTCTGTAACAGGAGAGCTGAGCAGCAAATCAACTTGAAGCTTTAACAGCACAACAAAGCTGTAACGCATTAGTGATCAGTCCAATACATGCAGACTGTGCAAGTGATGGACATTTACCATGCTCTTGCGGGCCTCAGCAAACAGCCTCTTTTCCTCCTCCAGTCTCCTCTTAGCCTCCTCCTCTGCCCGTTTCTGCTCTTCCTCTCTCCTCTGGCGTTCCAGCTCCTCAAAGCTGACACATATCTTCCCGGGCTCACTGCCCTCCAGGTTCAGCAAGGCCATCAGCACCTCGTCATCCTCGTCTACGAGCTGAGTGAAAAAGTGCAAAGACCACATGAATGTGAGAAGTTTCTGACTGCCATGGTTTTCAAAAAGCAGTTGATCTCACCGCCACACAGAGTAAAGGCAGCTTAGCTCTGCACAGAAAGCTCGATAATCGTCCAGACTAGTTTGTTTCACTAACCAGGCCAACCAGCTGCTGACTAGAGCGTAACATTCAGTTGGCAGATGATCGCTTCCTCACGCACAAAATTTCAATCTTCACTTTTAAGGCAAACAATTTCATTGACATAATTAACAGATATGTAGCCACTCTGAGAGAAATGTTTTGTATTAAATGCAGAGTTAATATTGACCATGCTTTTCCTGGCTTCAGCAAAAGCTCTTCTCTCCTCCTCCATCCGTCTCTTGGCCTCTTCCTCTGCTTTCTTGCGCTCTTCCTCTACCCTTTGTCTCTCCAGCTCTTCAAAGCTCAGTCTCAGTTTTCCTGGGCGAAACTCCTCCTTGTCTTCCTGTCCCGTGCTTTCCTCGTCTTCTTCCTGAGGAGACACAAACATATCACAAACGTGATTAGGCCATCTTCACAGCACAAGTGCAAACACAAATCCCCTAAAGTTGTTTGAGATGTTAATCCCTGAAATATTTTCACATGGCTCGTGATTTGCTTGAAATAACTGTACACTGGAAGATGATGGCAGTCAGACGAAGGTTGTTATATCCGTCTGTAGATATGTGTGTGTGGCTTTTCTCTGGTACCGCCCTAAGCTTGCATAGAGGAGGGTTGCAAAGCGACATGCAGATGTACAGCAACTATGGGAATGCTAAAGCTGCTAAAGCGCACTTGTTGCCTTCATGAGATCTGCCGGTGAATCGCACATGTACAAAAGCTATGCTTGCTGTTTTGCAGTCATGTGTACCATTCCCAGCCTGGCCTCCTCAAAAGCTTTCTTCTCCTCTAGCAGGCGGCGTTTGGCTTCCTCCTCAGCTTGCTTCTTCCTCTGCTCCTGCCTTTCTTTCTCCAGCTCCTCAAATGTCAGTTTCAGCTTTCCAGGAGTCACTTGAACCTTATCAGAAGCTTTCTCCTCTTCATCCTAATGCAAAAGAAAGCAGACCTGTGGCTGTAAAACACATTATCTCCTGTTAACACTGCGTTCATATTGATATCTTCATTTACCTGTTGATTAACTGAGCGTCTCTTCACTTCCCGGAAGGAGCGCTTGTTTTCGTCGTAGCGTCTTTTTTTCTCCTCTTCTGCCTTCCTTTTCAGCTCCTCCTCTCGATTCTTCTCCATGTCTTCAAAATTCACTTTGATTTTGCCGGGAGGTCGTGACGGCTTCGCCGGGACCACGCGCACCAGGATTGTGTCATCTCCTTCCTAAAGTAAAGTAAAGATAAAGTAAAAATAGCCGATAATCACGGTCTAAAGAATTCTCAACAACAATATCATCACAGTTTATATTAAAGCAAATGTGACGAGTCAGATATGTTTGTTTACTGTGGGTTTTTTGTCTTTCTGGCAAATAAACTCAAAGGGAACACAAATAAACTGTGATTTACATTATTATCATTATTATTATCATTATTATTATCATATTATTATTATCATTATCATTATCATCATCATCATTATTATTATTATTATTACTATTATTATTATCATCATCATCATCATCATCATCATTATTATTATTATTATTATCATTATTATTATTATTATTATCATTATTTTATTATTATTATTATTATTATAATAATAATTATTATTATTATTATCATTATTTTATTTTTATTATTATCATTATCATATTATTATTATCATTATTATTATTATTATTATCATTCTTATTCTTATTATTATTATTATTATTATTAT